CTCTTAGCAAAAGCAAAATTAGCTATGTAATTAATTAAAAATGTCTTGTTTTTAGTTTTTTCATAGTAAGAGTTTTTCCCATGTAAATTGTCTTAGAATATTCAAAATTCTCGGAATGTGCATAAGTTTTCTCTATAAAATTAATTTTATACTTTCTCCCCCCCCCTTTTTTTTCCAAAATATTTCTGGCTTTTTGCTGTTACAGAAATGGTAAGGATAATTTTTCTTTAGGATTTTAGACATTGCAGCTTGGGAAATTTAGAAGAATTTGAAGGCAAAGATTTATAGACCCACGATTCTAGAAGATTTGAAAATATGTGACAAAATGAAAAATGTCTCCGTGGTGTCAACACATAATGGATGTATTTTACTGAAAATTTGCAATGAATTTCTTACTTTTTGGAGAACATCTATAAGAACAATGAAAACATAATACTTGAATGTTTTACTTCTGATACTAGAATCTTAACATATTTATCTTCCCTTTATTTTCTCTACTTTTCACTAGACACAGACATGGTATCAGGTTCAATGTTTCTTCTAACCTTCTTCGGAAACATACAATGACCTGACTAGAACAGAGAGCTTACTAAAGCTATGTTCACTAATTGTAGTAAGTAGACAGGATACAGATGAAGGGTATACAAAACCCTTTATTTTTCTCTTATATACAATGACTCCGTACTTCGGAATACAATGACCCTCCACTCGGGGTCTAACATAAAAGATATCAAAATAAAACTAAACTCTAATTTAACTTTAGAATAATATACGTGTAAGATTGGCCTTATAGTAACAGGAAGCGTATGTAGCACAGAGACTGTGAACACTACAATACGTTTAATTTATCAAGAGGATTAATACCTCTGGCCCGGAAGGCAAATAGCAACTGCGTAACTTCTAAGGTAAGCGGCCTGCTTCGAACTCACTGCTTCCTCTCTCCTGCTTGGCAAAAAGGCCACACTTAAATACTTGGCATTCGCCAGACAACTTTGCATAAACTCCTTCACGCTTATAATTCTGGCCGGAAGTAGAAAATAAGAAGTGATAGTAAAGATTTAAAATAAAATAAACGTTAGTAAAACTTAAGATCCTTACAATGGAAAATATCAAAAATGATTCTAATCTTATTACATGGGCAGGCATTATAGAAAGGGATTTTTTTATTAATAAAGAAATTGAAAAACTTACATTTTTAAAAGATTCATCTAATATGTCTCATGTATAATACACTAGGCATTTTCCCACCTGAAGTGACATTTTCCATCTCTGTCAATCCTAAATTCTGCTGTCTAGTGCCTTTCTAAATTCTGCTTCCAATGCCTGCTTTAAATTCTAAAAGTTTTGCCATTTCTAGATTGTGTTGTTTGGTATGTCACTTAATTCTAGAAATTCTGCTACATCAGGTCTCTAACTGGCCTTTACTATATATGTTTCATATTTCTTCTGAATGTTCATATTACTAAAGAAATAAAATTAGCCGCTTTTTCTATACATTCTAAATGCATTTAGTGTTTTTTACAGAAATCCTTAATTAAATCCAAAAATTATAAAATGAAAAGGAAACGTGTTGAAGAAAGAAACTGAATACATAAAGAAAATTATTCTTCAAACATATGTGCAGTTATTATTATATAAATTACCCAATTCTTTATGATTTCAGCCTTTACTATAATTTCCCATTTCTATTTCCTCATATGATAGAGTTATTGAGCCAGATTAAATTAAAATTAAATTGTACAGTCAAAAGTCATTAATTCGGACACCCATAATCTGGAATCATGTATAATCCGGACCTCAAAGCTACAAACTTTCTGCGCATGTGTTGCGTTTATGTGTGCACATTAAGACCTTTACGGCTGCGAATATGCGTGAGCGCATGCGCATAAAACATTTACGCATGCGCGTTTAATGTATAACGGACGGTATAAGCTAAGCTAAAATTATCTAATTCAGTTAATGTTGCAGATTGCGTTGTTCCTTAATCTTCGAATTGGATCCGGCTTATTATTTTTTGCAGACTATTAGAGTAATTTTATAAAAGTAAGCTTGAACTTTCGATTATATCAAATAGAATTTCTGATATATATTTTGCTAATATGTAAAGGATCTAAAACGAAAGTATGTTTTGAAATCCGAAATCTGTTTATCAATTTCACGCTGCTCGGGCGGGGGAACGTCACGGTGCGCAATGAATTGGAAGTTGATCTGTCAGCACTGTCCTTATCTTCAGGGCAGATGTTTTTATTTTATTTGGCTTATAATTCCTTACTAAATGTAGTATTTCATCTCGATGTACTCCGTCTTTGATATGATTTAAATCAAGTTCCTTGTCATTATAATTCGCTTCCGATAGCGAAGAAAGTGACAGAGGTTATTGAAAACGAAAAAATTTCTATTGACAAATTAGTCGGTATTCTCGACACAGCAATTTTAGGACTTGAACAGCGGAACTTTGTAACTGAACAAGAAATTATGTCTGTTTAATAGAATTAAAGAGAAATTATTATCACATGAAACGAAGCAACTTAAACAACTTACATTGAAAGAAATGTTTAATAAAGTAAACAAATACTAAATGTTAAGCTTTTTCTTTTTGTAAATTTTGATACCCTTTAGATCATAATTGTTCTTTATTTCATAAATTACTGTTTCATATTTTTAATTTTGTAATTTCTGCATGCCATCTTACCAGATTTAAACTGATGATCTATAATCCGGAAAAATCAATAATCCGTAATCGCCGAAGTCCCGACGAGTCCGGATTAACAACTTTTGACTGTATAAGCTTTGACCACTAATCCACATTATTAGTTTGAATATGATTGTTCTTGTTTAATTACGTCACCAGGAGCTGTAATTGATTTTGTTAGCATCAGAACATACCTTTATATTCCAAGTTCTTTTTAAATAAGAGGCTTTTTAAATAATGACCTTTGTCTGATATTGTAGTTAATTTCAGACATAGTGATAATATGCTTCATGTCTGTTAGGGAGTTTGGGACTGTTTAACTTTTACAAGATCAATTAAACCCTCATAGGTACATTGTGGAGAAGTTGACAAATAAAGAGATAAAGCACGCAGAAACTAACGAGAGCATTGGTTTGCATATTGAGACAAATCTCTAATTGTTAGAAAAGATGCTTAAAGAGAAGGAAATCGATATAAACTAGCCAAAATGTCTGGGAAAGCTTCAAATTAAAATGACGGATAAATATTTTGTTGAGTGTTCTTGTTACAAAACATAAATGTTTTGTAGCGTTTAATGTGTAATTATCGTACTATCGTTTAAGAATCTGTGTCATAAATTACATGTATTTTAAACTGTGAAATTGTATTAGATTTAATAGGGCTAAAATTTAATAGTGGTCATGTAAATCCATAATGACTAAGGCTATCAAACTACCTAATTTAATTATTTTTAACTAACTGCTTACCCTTAAAAATTATCTCTTTGTATTAAAGCGAGTTATTGCCTTTTATTAATACTCGCCATGGTTACAAAATAATATATAAAAATGTGAAAATTCAAGTAAAACTTATTCTTTGCAACCACTGAGACTTAGAATAATACGAAAAAACTTATCAACTCTGGTGCTTTACTGGCTTATTGAAACCTTAAAGTATATTAACTGGGTTACAACCCCTGGAACTGTACACGAAGCTACAACACTTAACTGCATCAAACAGAGCTTGACTAACTTTCAAAACTCGGCCCAACTGTGCCTACATCAGGCGTTTCAGGTTTGTTCTAATCAGCAGGTCTCTCTCTAGAGAAGCAGCAGTGGTGACAACATTCAGTCTTTTAGGGTTATGAATCATGCTGATTATGATCTTATTTCTCATTTTAATGTATGCCGTTGGACATAAAATCTACCTGCTATTTAGATCAGTCTAGTCATACTTGATCAGTCTAGAGGTTAGACTGCTGCTGCCTAATCTAACCTCTAGACTGATCAAGTATGTGACAAAAAAAGACATAAAAAAAAATAAACATAAAGCTAACTGTTGTCACTTATCTTCTTTCAAATATGACCAATTACAGTACAAAGTCTTTAATTCAAACGTCCATAATCCGGAATAATCTATAATCCGGACCCCAAAGCTACAAACTTTATGCACATGCGTAAACGCATTTACGCGTGCACATAATACGTTTACGCATGCGCATAATATGTTTATGCATACGCGTTTAATGCTCGCAACCGCTACACGTGTGCGTAAATAGAAGAGATACTGTTTATAGAAGAGAAAATTAAAGAGAAATTATTAGCACAAAAACCGAAGCAACTTAAACAACTTACATTGAAAGAAATGTTTAATAAAGTAAACAAATAATATTAAACTTTTTTTGTTAATTTTGATAACCCTTTAGATCATAATTGCTCTATTTCATAAATTTGGTTTCATATTTTTAATTGTATAATTTCTGCATGCATCTACCAGATTTAATTGATGATCTATAATCCGGAAAAAACCCTAATCCGGAATCACGAAGTCCACGAGCGATTTGGACTTTGTATGTATTATAAGTGTAAAATTTAATCTACTTGATAAATTGCATAAGTTTTTTTCAAACTTATTAAACAATTATGTTAATTAATTCATGTTTAGTAAATGCATACTACTTGGGCTCTATTTATTTTTAGGATGGTATTACAAAGAAATTCAGGCATAGATAATATTTTCAATTGAATTTATTTAGTTCCCATTTGCTCATAGCTCCTTAATTTTTTTTCATTAATGGCCCTTAAAAGTACTTAATTTCCATGTGCAGAAATGTGTACGAACCCTGTTTATAGAATTGTAAAGCTATTGTATTTAAGGGGAAGCAAAGAAAATTATATACTTTTCAAATATATAATTTAAGTACAAACATGTATATAAGCAATCCTTAATTTTGATTAAAAGTATTCAATATTTGTTTTCATTTCTTTGGTTAAATATATTGCTGTAAAGTTCTTAGTTCATAATTATTTTTTTTATTCTATTAAATTAGGTAATACAAGACATAAAAGAGCTTAGTAAATCTATAAATACTGAAACTGAAACAAAAGATGTGCATCTCTTAATGGCTGAAGCAATGAAAGAATGTTCTCAGGCTAAAATTTCAGGTAGCATATTTCTCAATAGACAATAATTACTTGTCCTATTTCCACTTCTGTGCATGTGTATATGTTTTAACAACACATGCATATCAGCCTTTCTGTTTGCTAAAATAATATGTTCTTGAAGAAAAATTGCAGCAATAGTTTCTTTTTGTTGTAGTATTGAATGGAAAAATGGATAGATTGTGTAATATTTTTCTAAATTTGACAGTGATATATGGATGGATGACACTATCTAAAATGTCATTCATTTAATCTTGTAATCATAGATTTTTATGCTATAATGTTAATAATCTTCTAAAACTATTATTTGAAATTATGAAGTTAATATTCATTTACTGTGGGGAATCGAGATTTAGCTAGTATCGGGTATTTTTAAAGTTAGCATGTAACTTGTGTTAAAGTCTGTGACTTTAAGGTTATTTTCCATCATTTTTTTAATTATCCATAGATTTTTGAAACTGTATATTCTTAAGAGACTTGCTGCTTTACCGTGCTATGCTAAGACCACACACAAGTTTAATCACATGACCAATATTATTGAAATAACTTATACTGAATTTGAATGATAAGTGTTGCCACATGTATCATACTCGCCTGATTTTGTATCCTCAGACTTGTTTCGCTCTTTTCAAAATGTATTTGTGGTATAACATTCAATTCAGATGAGACCATAAATCAGCACCATGTATAATTTGCACATAGTATAAATTCTGTAACATCTATTTCTAAATGTTTGGTTCTAACTTGAATGATTAACAAGTAATTTATATTTTAAACCAGTAGTAAAATACAAATTTGATTAAAATCTTAAGCAGTAGTTTTAGCCTGTTATTAGTTAAACTTTTAAAAATCTCTGAATTTTTGTACCAATATGAATTGTTGATCGCAAATAGAAATCCTTTGTAATGTATTTCTATATCTTGTTACAAGAATGACTTCTATATATTTATTATTTAGCTGAAAAATATAATTTACAAATATTACAAATATAAAGAAACAGATATAAAGTTAATAATAAAGTAAAGGTAATAATGCATAGTACAAAGTTTTGAATTGTACAGAAGTATTAAAAATTGGTAATTCACGTTGCAGTTTATTTCTAATCTTGCTATATATCCTGCTACTTGTCTACAATAAAATTAATTGCTATTTTAATTTTGTTACTATATAGATAGATTTCAAGAGGTGTGGTGTTTCAAGATGCATAAGATGGTTTATGATAGCAATTTAGTGTAGCTTCAAATCTGAATTTTTCTTATTTTGTGCTTGTTGTGAGAATACTTACTAATATTAAAACTGCATTTTTATTTTAACTTGTACACTAATTTAAAAAAAAAAATCCTATTCCATATCTTTTATTCTACTAAGCTGATTGACAAAATTCAACATACGTTTTTTAATATCTCAGAAGTGTAACTTAGTATATATACAGTACAAAGTCTAAGATCTGGACTTATCTGTTCTGTGATTGCATATTTGAGATTTTTCTGGATGTTAGATCAAGAGTTTAAATCTAGTAAGATGACATGTAGAAATTATAAAATTTAAAATATGAAATAGTGATTTCTGAAATAGTGAAGTATTTCTAACCTTGAGAGAATCAAAATTATAAATATAAAGCTCATTATAGTACAAATTGCTTCTGTAAATTCTAAAAATTTTGCCTTCCCAAAATTCTGCTGCCAACCCTGGACTTAATAACAAATTAGTTATTCTCAATTCAAATAACACTAAATCTAATCTCTTAGACTATCATTATCATTCACAAAATCATTTCTTTGCAAATGAAAAGAAATTTCTGTTAAATTTCTCCTTGACAACACTTCATAGCTCAGTTAGCTGAAGTCTTTAATCATTGCCAAGCGTAATATCAGCATAAGAGGCTACCATGGCCTTTGGTATTCAGTTGCTAATGTTAAAAATTAAAACTAGAAAAAAAATTGTTGTAACATTTCTGTAGGAGTTGTTTCTCAAACTACAATTTATTGGTAATCATGTGGTGATGAAAGCAAAAAATAATAAATAATGATTTGCAGGTGGCTGGGACATATATGTCCTGAATCATGTGGTAGGAAAGAAAATAATAATAATGATTTGCCATGCTGGGACATATATGTCCTGAGCAAAGTGTATTGGCACTGGGGCCCGGGACAGTTTTCCTTGGTCGCAGGGGTAGGGAATTCTAACGCTTAAGGCTTGACGACTATTTTACGACACCCTAGCGAGTGCGTTCTTTGAGGATTCCGCTAGGGTAGGGGTAATTTTCGTATTTTTGAACCCATATGGCTTGTTTGCGAATTGGTGTCTTCTGGAAATATTTTTTCAAGAGAAGAAAATAAAAAGACTAATTTGTTACCTCGATTCCGCGCGTTTGCGTTTTAAGATCTTTCTTAGATTTTTTTTTCTTTTGCAAATACTGTAAATTCTTTGATTTATTTACATTTTTTCGAGTTCGGTATTAATAATGGCTAAACGTAAAGGAACTTTCTTGTTTCATTCTTTTTGTAATTGTTATATTTCAAATAGTTTTAATGTGCATGTAAAGGAAGATTAATGAAATTACGTTCAGGTGATGAAAATTTGTTTTAATGTTATTTCTAAATGACATACATTCCACGATACTGTTTACTTGAGTGAAATTTTGGTTTGTTATGTTCTAAATTATAACTAGTGCTGAGCGTATAAATTTTCTTTACACTAATAATTCACCCGGGTTTCAAATTCGAAGACGGATTGACTGCATGAACCTTTCGTATTCGTTCATGTATATGAGCCATTTCTTTCGACGTCCTCCACGAAAGCCCACTTCGATTAGGCAATATCTTTTCTTTAATAAGACGAATAAAAAATAAAATTATTCGAAATAGAGCTCTGTTTATGAGCGTCTCATACTATATTTAGAACCCTTTCCTTTTATGAATAATTTGATGACAAATTAATTCGACTGTGCGATAAATGAAACACGAATTTTTATTAAAGCAGTTAGTAAGACACTTATAATTCCAAATTAAAGCTTCAAACTTTTTAATTATCCGTTGTAATATGTTTGCATCTATAAGATGATATCTGTATCAGTTCTTTCAGAAAGTAGATACGTTAAGTTTAGATTAATTACACATGGGAAAACACACGAAGGCTGCCTTTCTAAGGGAAAGGATGCCTACCTATCAAAAAGGATGCCTTCGAGGAGAACTTTTAAGGGAAACTACTCGTATTCACATTTCGGATGGGACAAACAACGAAAACCAACCATGCGCCAACTCAATCGCCTGGCCTCGAACCCAAGTCGAACTACCAGTATTCAGCAGTCTTGACCACTCAGTCACAGATAGTGTTCAGAAAGTAATTAATTTTACATGAGAATTGTATTTTGGAGGGAATCAAACGATATAGTAGGATACTAAGATGTATAGGGTAATTGAGATGTGTACTATTTTTTAGTTCCCTGAATTTAAACCTCAGTATGATTCTTTATTAATATTCATCAACTCAGTACGATCTTCATTCCGAGCTTCATTACTCCTGAAAGAAAGCAACAAATAAAAAGCTTCGAGATCTGAAAATTTTGCAAAACAATCTCATACCTCAAAGGTGATTTTAGCATTCTGAAAATATAGATCATAAAAACTGAAGAAATATTTCTGCCATTTCGACAAAAAATCTTTTTTTTTTTTTTTTAAAATTTTAATGGGTTTCCTGAATATGAAATTTTGCTTTTAAAGAAAAAATGCAGCAGCATAAAATGCAATATAAATCAGCGAACAACTATTCCCCTTCTATTCTAAGGTAAAAGTCATAGATAATATCTTTCTTTAAAGTGGTAAACCTAAATTTTTGTTATTGAATGCATTGAAACTCAACAAGTTTTAATGTTTCAATAATTATTCAGTATATTCAATATTATTTTTCTCAACCTCCAGCGTTTGCTCCTGCATTTCTTTACCGAACCCAAAACTGTGAAGCGGTTAAAAAAATTAAAATCTTATATCCCTGATATGAAGGCAGATCAAGCCTGGGAACGCTATTTGCAACGTCACATGGAAGAAAAATTTATTTAAAAGAATTCTTACCTCGTGCATTCGTAAATTTTTGTTAGTGCATGTTTATTGGTGTTGTTCAATAATGATTCTATGCAGCACAAACACAGTTACCAATTTCTTTTTCTCCAGAAATGAGTTTTACAGAAGTGTAAATCCAATGGCCTGCATGGTTGTATCATTTTGGGAACTCGAAAATGCTTTCCAATTGACACTTGTAATAATTAAACTGTATTTAATTTGCTCTTCAATATCAGGATAATTATAATACTTAAAATGAAAATCTATATATTGTTTGAAGGATATGTTTGAATATTTTAAATCACTAAATTCTCTATACTTTGACAAGTCAATATAGGTAACTCTGATTACTTTGCTTATTTTTCAATATATAACCTATGTGCAAGTTTAAAAAGTTATTTTAACCAAAAAATGAACAAAATTGTCTAGTTGTAGCATAAAACATTTCGTCTGAAAATAAAACAATAAATTACATTTCGTGGGGAAAACTGCATACAACATCTATCTGCAGTGTGAAAGCGATTAGAATACTTCCTTCATTCTATCACCTAGAGCTTTGGAACTGGACCAAAAATAAATGCTGACCATTTCTCTGCCTGCCAACAAAAGAGCACTAATCACCTCGTCATTAAGACTCGATCCGAAAAATTTTACCCCCTTTCCCTAACTGCTGAGCGAAGAGCCCCCAGTGAAGGAACACAACTATTTTTCGAGCCCACTGAAAAAGTTAATCTAAACACCTGTTTAATCTTCCCAGGGTAAGTAATGCGAAGAGATAATTATTCTGCCTTTAGCTTAGATTCCAAGAACACCTTATAAATACACTAGCAAATGTAACTAAATGTTCATTTGCATTATGGTCTGGCAGTTAAGAACTAATGTGTTAACAAAACTCTGCTGTTTGCAGAGAGTATAATAGTTCAAATACATGAAAATCAAATAGTAAAATAGAATCCAATAACCTGGCTCCT